CTTTAGACACTTTACTTGTTTCAATTCATTTAGTGTACTTTAACACATTACGTGCACTGACTAAATGTGCGCGGGATCCAGGCTTAAACATCGCACGTCTCCATGCCGACGCGGGGACCAAAGAGCGCGGGCGGTAAAGGTTTAACCAATCAGATCCAGTAAACAGTTGTTCGCTGAACGATGCGATTAGGCGAAGCCGCACTGACTTAATCTAATTAATTAAATAAAAGTAGTGAATTCGGTTGAAAATTCGTCTATTTTCGGTAAAATAAATGCAAATTTATCGAATTACCAGGTGGAATTACGCGTGATCAAATACGCAAATCAAATAATTCGTCGTTTACATGGCAGGAACCGGAATAAAGAGCGTTCCACAGGGAGGCAAACACTCCAAATTGCTAGATGGAGATAAACGGTTTATTTATTCGAGCCGGGCGCGATAAAGTTGTCATGGGAAATTGCTTTGACATTTACACTTCCTGTTCTGGCCTTACAGTGGCAACTAAATCTTCTTTTGCATAATGATTTTCCATTACGACTCCAGCTTGGTCAATAGAAGAAGAAAAAACCGTTCCGCCAACGTTGCACATTTTCGTGAAATGCAAATTTTTTGATAAGAAAAAACTGGTGAATTCTTGATCCTTGGGCTTGAGCGCTTTGTTCTCTAGAGGTTTATTTGGATTTGCAGAACTGACTGCGCTCCGGCTCGTTTTTTCTCCTCTAAGCCGTTCTGGATTAATTTGATGAGCTTTCACTTTAAAAGCCCAAAACTCTACGGCAAAAGCGACTGTTATTACAGCGTTAGAATGAAAGTTTCCCCACTTAGCTGACACTCTGCACTATTGACTTTTCGGTGTTGGTTATCAAGGAACTTTAAAATATTTAAGTTGGTCTTTGAGCGATCCTTTGTTTGGCTTCTGGAATTGCTTCTTTAACATATAATCGGCCCCATCTCGGGTAGGCAGCAATGAAAATGTATTTTCCAAGCTGCTTATTGTTGTTTTAACAACTTCCAAACGTTGAGTCAATGTTGATTCGTTCAGGAGCTGAGACTTCTGTCTTTTGTCTTTGGCTTTGTCTGGATAGTGAGCAAATTGCGTGCAAAGTATCGTGAAGAAAATCAGGAAGCAGAAAATCTATCCAGCTAATTTTAATGCTGGTTCGGGTTTTTGTGTAAGAACCACGCTCTTTTAAAATCGGCCACTCAACAATCCCTTATAGTTCCATTGTTCCATTTCTGTTGGCAATGTCTATGGAAAGTTCATGGCAACCTGTTGGTGTTTAGCTGGCAAGTAAACAACTCCAGCTTGAAAGGATTGTCGCTATGATAATATGCTTGCTCGGAAATCAATAGCCAGTGAAACTCCGTTGGATGTAAGGAGTTAATCAGTTTTCAACAAATATTTGGGATTAATTAGTGAGGCTCCGATGCTAAGCTTTTGCTCACAATGAATTTTAGCTGTGGCCAACTTATCTTGGTAGCTGTCTTTGTGTGGCTCACTGTTTCAGTTACTTAATGGGACATTAATTTCTTTTTCCTCCTCTTTTTGTACCACTCTCTTCACTACACTTTTCCAAGTCGCTTCATCTTGATGCTTTCATTGTCATTTACTGTTTGTTGTTCAATTTGTTCCTGCACATTTGCAACTCCGTCGTATTCGATGTTATTTATGAGAAAGGTTTGTTTCCTTGGCTTTCTGTTTGCGTTTGGCCCCCTGCTTTGCTTGCTTGATTATGATGTGTTATTGTAAAATACTTACAATTACAAGTCTTCTGAATCTTTTCACGTATTTACAGTCAACTGTCTCCTCAAGGTTGGGAAAGTTTCCAGATGCCCCTTGCTGTAGCTTGGAAGATAGAAAATTTTAGAGCAGAGAGCGCAGGTGTCCACAAACCGTCATGTTGAGCCTCAGCTTTGTCAAGCTGGCAAAAATCAGGATTTTATGCGTTTCTGCTTAGACCTTCTGCGTCAATAGTGCCGAGTATCTTCTAAAGATTGTGAAAGTTTCAAATTATTCATTCTTGGTTCAGTTTGCAAGACTCGATTTTTGAAATGAGAGAGCGCAGTTGACTAAGTCTCAGAATTGATGACTAGCATTTATCAAGCTGCAAAAAATCAGGATTTTGTGCGATTTTTTCTAAACTTTCCGCATCTTTAGAGTTAAGTTTTTATGCAAGATGGTGAACATTTCAAATAGCTCCTTGCGTTAGTTCAAAAGATGCGATTATTAAAGGAGAGAGCGCAGTTGACTTGAATCATCAATTCCAACACTCGCATTTATCAAGCTGGAAAAAATCAGGATTTTGTGCGATTTTTACTAAACTTTCCGCATCTTTAGAGTTAAGTTTTTTTGCGAGATGGTGAAAATTTCAAATAGCTCCTTGCGTTAGTTCAGAAGATGCGATTTTTAAAGGAGAGAGCGCAGTTGACTTGAATCATCAATTCCGACACTCGCATTTATCAAGCTGGAAAAAATCATGATTTTGAGGGATTTTTACAAAACTTTTCGTATTTTTAGAGTTAAGTCTCCTTGCAAACTCGTGAAAATTTCTCATTGCTTTGATTTGGGACACACGAACTTTTAAAACTGAGAGCGCAATGGACCGAAACGATCAATTTTTTGTCATCAAATATTTTTTTCTTAGAGTAGCGAATTTTTTTGAAAAACAACCCCTCATCATGGTACTTATTTCATGCTGAAATTATCCCAAAAATACGAATCTGCCACCTGAATTCGCTTTCGATGACTTTGAAGGGCGTAAGTTGCAAATGTGATCAATTTTCCATATTCAATTCTTCATTCATCACCTGCTGTCAATTTCTCCTTTGCCCCTATTGGTATGTCCTTATCGTCCAGCTTGAGTTGGTAACACTCAGTTTACTTCACTTTTCTACCTTTCTCCTTATTTCCCCTTTAATTACCATTTACTGTCTCCTGTTCAATTTCTTCGTTCCTTTACGTTTCCGTCCAACTTCATTGTAGGTTTCCCTCTGGCTTGCCTTATATATATTTTTCCTTTGCCCGATATTGTTGGTCCTCGCTTTTATTAAGTTTTAGGTTCCTACCTCATCTTTTATCCAAATTATTCCTGTTTATCTTGCCCTGTTAATCTCTAACGTTTCAACATTTGCAGTCACTTCACCAACTTTTTCCATCTTTGTGCCTTCGTTGTTGTTTCCTCTATGGAGACTTAGATTAAGGGAGGCGATTTATGAAATTTGATATGAGCGATTATCAATCGAATCAAAGAAAGTTCACCCAAGAATGTGAAAAATGGAAACAATCACTCGTTGAACTCCGAAATTTGCCACAAAAATGAGCGTTTTTACCCAAAATCACCCTTTGCTGCAAAAAATCACTCCTTCCAATCTAGAGCAAGCAGACCCTTGAAACTTTCACCGCCCATAGAAGACAGTTCAATCTAAAAATGCTGAAAATTGTGACCAAATCGCCTTAACCCCTGATTTTTGCCGACTTAAAAAAGTTGGCACAAAATTGAGCGTTTTTACCCAAAATCACCCTTTGTTTCACAAAATCGCAACTTCCAATCTAGAGCAAGCAGACCCTTGAAACTTTCGCCGTCCATAGAAGACAGTTGAATCTCAACATGTTGAAAATTTCGCCCAAATCGCCTTAATCCCTGATTTTTGCCGACTTGAAAAAGTTGGCACAAAAATGAGCGTTTTTCCCCAAAATCACCCTTTGCTCCAAAAAATCGCTCCTTCCAATCTAGAGCAAACAGACCCTTGAAACTTTCACCGTCCATAGAAGACAGTTGAATCTGAAAATGCTGAAAATTTCGCCCAAATCGCCTTAACCCCTGATTTTTGCCGACTTGAAAAAGTTGGCACAAAAATGAGAGTTTTCACCCAAAATCACCGTTTGCTCCAAAAATCGCTCCTTCCAATCTAGAGCAAGCAGACCCTTGAAACTTTCACCATCCATAGAAGACAGTTGAATCTCAAAATGCTGTCAAATTTGGCCCAAATCGCCTT